AATATTCAACCTAAACATGCTGCAGCCCTGCTTTGACCCTCAGAGCTTCTCTCCTCAGGTTCCCAGGCTGTGGCCCGAAGCGTTGTGCAGGCAGCCTCCGTTCACCTCACCCCGGTGACCCTGGAGCTGGGCGGCAAGTGTCCCTGCCTCATATACGGGCGGATTAACATCCAAGCCGCCGCTCATCGCCTAGCATGGGCCAAGTTCTTCAACATGGGCCAGAGCTGCGTGGCTCCAGACTACGTACTGTGCACGGAGGCCACCCGTGACGCCCTGGTGCCGGCGCTGTCCGCGGTGCTGGAGAAGTTCTACGGAAAGGAGCTCCAGAAGAGCCCGGACCTGTCCCGCATCGTGTCCGACCGCCACTACAATCGTCTGAAGAAGCTGCTTGATCGAACCAAAGGGAAGGTGGTGATTGGAGGAGAGAGCGACCAGGAGGATAAATACATAGGTGGGCCTTCAGATGCTTCAGTTTGTCAAATGTTTTACTGTTCGTATTCATCAGTAGATGTTAAAGCTACTGATCATTTTAATGCACGATTTCTAACATTTATTTACATAAAACCTTTAGATTTACTTTAATGGTACTTTTATGTGTTCTGGAAGCTTAGATACTCAGTAAAATTGTTAGAGGGACGATTAAAAGTGTCTTTGCTTTTTTCCTTCAGCGCCCACGGTGGTGGTGGACGTAGCAGAGGACGACGCCCTGATGGGGGAGGAGATCTTTGGCCCCATTCTGCCAATCATCACCCTGGAGAAGCTGGAGGAGAGCATTGAATTTGTCAATCGTACCGAGAAGCCTTTGGCCATCTACGTGTTCTCGGACGAGTCCTTTGTAAGGGCGGGAACTCTGCAGCTTTTCCCGGAAAAACTTTAAACTCACGTCAGAATGATGCGTTTGTTGTTCCCCTCCAGGTGGTGAAGACTGTGATGGAGAAGACCACCAGCGGGGGCTTCTGCTCCAACGACGGCATCGTTCACATGACCCTGCCTGGTCTGCCTTTTGGAGGAGTAGGTAGGTCTCCGTCTCCCTCAGACCGCTCGGGTTTCAGTCGGTCAAACTGGTCCTGAGGGGAAGTAGAGGCTCCACATCCAATCAGGCCCATGGAGGCTTTCATGTTCTGTTTTTAGGGAAGCTGCAGGTTTCATTTCTGTTTCTTTGCTGTTTTGATTTTTACTTGATCAGCGAGTTTGATGAAAGCAGAGGAACCAGCAAACTAGCTCTGAAGCAGAAAGAACAAACTGTGATGGTTTTAATGTATGGAGGATAAAAAGTGCCAAAATTAGATAAATAAATACAGCATAAATAATTAAATGTGGAATTAAATAAATAAATGTGTCATTCATTCATTAAAACTACGTCACTAATATAAAGTGCCACTATTAATTAAATGTGTAATTCATTAAATAGATAAGGAATTAAATATATAAATGTGTCATTAATTTAATAAAATACGTCTTCATTTCATTAAATATATATATATAATTATTTCAGTGTGCATTTAATTATTTCATGGTCCTGTGTCGCAGTGCATCGAAAAACCATTAAAAGAATCTGTCAAACTCACCCAT